TAATTAAGCAATCGGGCTCCTGGTGCAGGACAGATGATGCATCGGCACTGCGCAGGTCGTGCCAGCCTTGGCAAGGAAGGTTGAAGAGCAGGGCTGGGTTTATGATTTACCACGGTACCTGCCTGAAACCCCCAACCCCGAAAAAGCTCAGCATGTTGGAGGGCTCATTACCCAGTCTTAGTTTGAGTGTATGTGTATGTGCATGTGTATATCTGTATAACTGTATGTATGTGTATGTGTATGTGTTTATGTGTAGGTGTTTGTGTATGTAGGTGTATCTAGGTGTATGGAGGTCTATGTGTGTATGTATGTATGTATGTATGTATGTATGTATGTATGTATGTATGTATGTATGCATATATGTATGTATGTATGTATGTATGCATGTGTATCTGTGCATCTATGTGTGCACAGGCCATGAATAGACACTCTCACCAGCGTCCATCATGACAGAAAGACACTTTCGCCAGCGTCTGGGTTTCGGCCTGTGTCACCCTCCCCCTGAGATGCCTGCGTTCATCATCTTTTGTCGACGAATCCTGCCATCATCTGCAGATCGATGTTTATCATGCCGAAAGCCAATAGAACAAACCTGGCTGATGAAAGCTGCATGTCTTTTTTTTGCCAGCAGCCAGCTTCGCACAGCTGCAGCTTGTCTCCTGATACAGGGGAGTTGAACTAATATTGCTCTCTGAATCTGAATCTGAGTCCTGCTGGCCTCAGCATCACCTGGGCATCGGCAGCGGCTCCTGCCAAATGCCATCGTGCACATTCATCCGAAACACTGGGCTCAGGGTTGGGGGGCCTCATCTTTTGTCATCTTCTTTTCAGCGGCTTCCTGATCAAGTGAGCAATGAGAGCTCCTCAAGTATCTGATCCAGCGAGTCCTCCTTTGCCGATCTCGCAGCGGTGCTCGCCTGGGCAAAACATCATGGCTTGTTTGTTGATTGACATTACTCCCGAAACAGCGCACTCACCTCACCATCGCCCTTTGTCTTTGCCTTCTTGGCATCTTTCACCTGATTTGGGAGGTAGCATGATTCTTGATTCATTATCTGATTTACGTGCTGGCTCAGACTGAAAGACTTGCCTCCGCCTCTGGGACTTGGGGCCTGAGCGTTTGTTCTGCGGCTAGCATGATTGGCTTCATCTCACGAACAGGCTACTGGAAAGGAGCCTCCAGAGCCTTGGCCGGTTTAGCCGTTTTGACCTCCTTCTTGCCCTCCTTGGGGCCCTCCTCCTTGGCCTGGGCCTCCTTCTTGGCCTGCCTTTCCTGCTGTTCCTCCTTGGCCTGGGCAAAGGCCGCTGCCTGGGCCTCCTTGTCCTTGGCCGCCTGGGCCGTCTTCTTTTCCTTCGCCTCCTGGGCTTTCTGCATCTTTGCCTCTTTGGCGTCCAAGGCCTGGGGCACAGAAGAGAGGATTGCTTCGACTTGAGGATTGCTTCGAAATGTGCAGCAAAGAGGCCCGACGCTTGTCCAGTTCCCGGCCCATCTCGCTGCTGAGCTTTTTGTACTTGTCCTGACGCAGAACATAAAGCTATGTTGGGAACAAGATGGTGCCTTCCTGGCCTTCTCGGCAACTGCCTCGTGGATCTGTTCCTCCAATTCGGCGATCTTCTTGTCGGTGTTTACCTGACACCAAGGAGCATCATCAGCATCGTAAGATAAGATCATGATTGTCCGTCCTTGTACTTCTTTCCCCTCTCCACCGCGTCCAAGGCCTGCCTGAGATCTTCTCCTGCCCTCACCAGCTTCTTGTCCTGCTGGCCAATGGTCTCCTTGGCCTCTTTCGCCTCCGTCAAGAGCTTGGAGATCTGGGCCTTGCGTGTGGCAGTTCGGGGTTGAATTGCTTCCAAGTCTTGAAGCACAAAACGGGCTGACTGTGGAAATTCGGAATGAAATGCAGTGGCCTTGTAGCCGTCCAGGGCCTTGTCCTTGTCGCTGTTCATGGACTTTACTCTGTCCTCATGGAGAACAGGCTAAAGCAGAAATTTCAAAAGTAGATACCTGCCTGGCAGGCCTTCTCGGCCCGCGTATCCTTCAGGGCTGCCTCGAGGTCCTGGATGCGCTTGGCCTGGTGCTCCTGGCACGAAACAACGCATGTCAAAGTTGCAACATGATACCACCAGCATGGCCTGTCCTGGAGCTTCCTGGAGACCTCCTGAGCTGTCTCCCGAGTCTCGGCTGCGAGACGCTGCTCCTCCTTCACCTTCTCTGCAGCAGCCTTCTCGTTCGCTTGTGTGGACTGCGCAAGAAGGCTTCCGCACCGGCGTTCGGTGTCTATCTTGTGCAACTCGCACTGAAGCCTTGTGACCTCCTGCTGAAGACTGCTCACTTTCTTCTCCGCCCGGGAGAGGTCTCGGCGGTACTGCGCGGCATCTTGCACGTGGCCGCCCTTCTTGTCGTTCTTCTGCTGCTGGTGCTTTTGCTTCTGCTGTTTCTGGTTTTTCAAGGTACCTTGCGACGGCTTTCTTTGCCACGATCCTATCGTAGTGGGCTGCCTCTGCCACGAGGAAGCAGAAGTCACCTGCGCTGCAGGACAATCTGTTGACAACAGTCTATGAGTGGAGGTACTAAGCACTTTCACCAGCGCTCAGTTCTCAGACTAGACCTGGACCCTTTGAGCACTTTCACCAGCGCTCAGTTCCTAGACTTGGCCTGCCTGGCAGACCTGCGAGCACTTTCACCAGCGCTCATTTACTTAGTAGAGTGACCCGTGCCTGCTCTTCCACTTCCACTTCCTCTTCCTCTTCCTCATCTGCTTCCTGCTTCTGGTCCTGGCAGCGGATTGTTTTGATGTCAAAGAAGCTTAAGGTTTATCTGGCTTGCTGAACAGACCTGGCCTGGCCACCGGCTTCCGAAGGTGGCGGGGGTGGCCCTGGCGGGGGAGGCCCCGGCGGGGGTGGTCCCGGTGGTGGGGAGGGCCGCTCGGCGGAGGTGGGATTGGCAACTGTGGCGGCGGTGGCGGCGGAGGCCACTTGGCGGATGCTCCTCGTCGTGCAGACTCCTGTGCACTGGCAGCAAAAGCCAAGCCAACTTTAATTCAAAACAGACCTGCCTCTGTCCATGACGATGCCCAGGTGGACCCGTACCGCCCACTATCATCCTGACAAAAAAAGTCATACTTGGTCATGGCAGGACTATCCGAAGTCGACTTGACTGTTTGTACACCCCACAGGCTCCTGAGCTGCACCACCAGCTCCTTCCCATTGTCTTCGGTCCTGACAAGTGTCTCTCACTCATTCTGAAAGTGGTATGTACGCCCCAGAGGCTCCTGATCTGCCATACCTGCACATCCAGCTCCTTCCCATTGACTTGTGTCCTGACAATTGTCTTTCACTCATTCTGAAAGTGGTTTGTACGCCGCACAGGCTCCTGAGCTGCCATATCTGCACCTCCAGCTCTTTCCCATCGACCTGGGTCCTGACAAGTGTGTGTGTGTGTCTCTCTCTCTCTCTCTCTCTCTCTCTCTCTCTCTCTCTCTCTCTCTCTCTCTCTCTCTCTCTCTCTCTCTCTCTCTCTCTCTCTCTCTCTCTGAATGTGGTTTGCACACCCCACAGGCTCCTGAGCTGCCCTTTGTGCACCTCCAGCTCCTCTCATTGCTTTCGGTCCTGACAATTGACACGTGTCTCTCAGTCATTCTGAACTGATAATCATGTTGCGTGGGCACTAGGGTCCTCTGTCTTGTCCGAATTTCGTGCTGCCATGCAGAAGGCTCGGAGAAAAAAAGTTCTGCTACCCTACCCTATATTGCCACTTATTGCTGAGATCGACACATTGCTTATTTGGTATCCTCACGGCACTACTGCGGAGGTCTTTGTACATAAGCTGCCACAAAATACTTGGGAATTCTATACATGATATAGCTGTGTCGTCACACACACTTCCCGCTCAGGGACATGTTGAGTTCTGGGTTAAGTGCGGCTTACACAAACTTAATTCACTAATTGAGCTGTCTGCAACTGAGGGATGACAGGCACAGGTGACCATGTTTTCTTGGCTGCAGCATTCTAATGAGTAGATTTGCTTTGTCTGCTTTTTGAAACCTGGTGGTCCGGGTTCGTGTCAGTAATACAAGCGATAGTGCAGGCACGCTGTCATGTTCCTTTGTATTGTTGCTGTTGGCCCTGTGCAAGTCTGCATGCCATGTGTCGAGCCACAGGAGGGGTGAAATCAAGCAAGGGCCCACATGCCAAACAACTGTATTCCTGAAAAACAAGCAAGGGTTCAGCAGCTGCAGGTGCCATTGCCTCGTCTCGGCACTTCGGACAGAAGAGGCAGGAGCAGGCAGTGCAACTGAGGACCTTGCACACCAGTCTATTGTTTAAGGCTGTGTCACACACAGACTGACGCTGGTGAGAGTGTCAGTCAGGCAGGGCAGCATGTGCCATGACGCTGGTGAAAGTGTCACATGCCAAGAGCTGCCACAATGCTGCTGAATACGTATCTGAGGTAGCCGCGCAAAGCCATCTCCGAACCTGGCACAATGACAAGTAATCTCGGCAGGTTCAATTCTGCGCCCAAAGACACTTTCGCCAGCGCCTGAGTCAGCACTTTCTCCAGCGCTGCATCGAGTCTCAGTGTTCTAGTTGGAGGCTACTGCTCTGACCTTTCAGAGAAGACATCAGCAAGATAATATGATATGTTCGGGGGCAGAGTCTCGTATGTTTTGCAGAACAGGGCCCCATGGGAGGCATTTCGGGTCTGTTGAAATGATGGATTCCACTCTGCAGGTACACTTCACTTCTCTCCCAGGGCACTTTCGCCAGCGCCTGTGTTTCTCGGGTTTTGTGTTTCTCAGGTTTTGGCGTGGGAGTCCGCCTTCCCCGGGAGAAGGCGGACTGCCGGGGAAAACGCAGGAAAACACGGTTAAACGCGGTCTCAGCGCACATTTTCGCTGTCCCGTTCGTCGTTCTCCGGTTGGTGGTTACCAAGCCCTCGCTGGCATATTTTAGCCATCCTTGAGGCTCAAGAGGTTGACAAAGGCTCCAGTTTCTCCCAGATGCCCTCTGGAAGAAAGAAGCCATCCAAGAAGAAATCTTCGACGCGTCGCCTTGGCAAAGCCTCCACTTTGCCGGGTGCCCTGTGGGGTGCCTGGTTGGACCACGTCCTCCGGACTGGTCCGACTTGGTTGTGGGTGGCCTTGGTCTTAAGTCATTGTCTTTGTCTTCGCATATCTGAGGTTCTGCGGCTCCGCAGACGCGACTTCCGCTGGGAACAGAATCAGGTCTATGTGGGGCCATTGAAACAACAACCCGGAGTTCGGAAGAGCATGCTTACAGCACTAGTTCCAGTGTTGAGAAACCTTCGTGATCATGGAAAAAGCCGTCGCCGCAAGCAGCACAAGGGCGCGCGGGGAACCGTGGCCTTTGCCGACAACTGGGCATGGCCCAAAGATGATGCTGGATTTCTCTTTCCATCCACAAGAAGTGACTCAGCAGAGCTTCATCGAGTCAAAGACAGTGCATGTAAAGCGGTTAGCAGGGCCCGGCAGAGCTTCAAACCATCTAAGAAAGACTTTGTGCAGGTTGAGCAGATACGGACACATTCCGGCAGGCATCGCATGATAAACGACTTGAAGCAGGCCGAGGTCCCCCAAGAAATTGCCATGAAATTTGCACGCATAAGTGATGTTCGCACATTTATAGGCTACGGTGAGCTCACAGATGAACAGGCTGGAAAAAACTTGCAGGACAACAAAACACTTCAGAAGCGACTTGTCGCCGTGTATAGCAACAAGCGCAAGAGCAGCGTGAAAACACCCAAGTCGAAGAAGAAGTAACGTGAGCTGCACGAGTGGCTGCTGCCCGCTCCTACTACAAACCTATCATGATCCGGGCGTATCTGTATATAAGAATTCACCTGTGTACTGGGGCGCAGACACCACGCAGCGGCTGCTTGTTGCACTCTATCCAGAATGCGAAACCTGTTCCAGTGCTTGGAACGATGCTCTCACAATACTCTCCAGACTGCGAAATGTCATCTTCCAGTGCTTTAAACCAGCCGGTCACGTTTCAAATCAGAGCTGCATAGAAAAAGACTGTCGACGTCGTACTTACCAGCCTTCGCAATCTGGATAGTGTGCATCAAGCTGCCTCAGGCTTCCGTGGACCCTTTTGGCTGGAGGAGAGCTTGGATCTCAGAGATGTGTGACATGCCGCAGTGTTCTGTTTTCAGGGGCATGATGCCACACTCGCAGAAGTCTTTTTTGCAAATGCCCCAGTGCTTCAGCTTCTTCCACTCTCACAGTGGCAGCAAAGCTGTGATAACACAGCTTTGACAGAAAGAACAACCCCTCGGGCCGTAGGGGCAGCCACGAAGACATGTGCAAGGTTTCGGACAACATGCACGTAGGTATGTTATCTGTTTCTTATCAGTCTCCACATGCGTTCGTACTATGCTGCCTGACCCCACCCCAAACCGAAAAGCGCACTGAACACAAGTATTCAGCGTCCGCAAACGCCGTCTCTGGACATGGGAACGTTGACTTTCGCAAAGAAATCGAGAAACTTGGCCATCGTGAAAGCATTTGACATGCTCCTGTACACAGGGTCACGGGTCTTCTCATCGTCCGACACCACTGCCATGCAATAGAACTGGGACTGTGAACGCGCCCTGTTCTGCACAGATTCCAGGAACTTCTCTTCCGTTAGAAGTTTCCATTTGGAGGATGGCTCGCATGCTATGTTGCTCACCGCCGCGAAATTTTGAGGTCGGGTTCTCTGCAGGCCGGAGCTCAAACATATCCTGCGAACAGAGTTTGTGGCCTGGAAGAAGCTGAGGGCGATCCCCTTGTGACCACCAGACACAATGAAGTCGGCGTTGCAAACACACTTGCCACGAAGGATGCCGTGAATCCATGCCGGGTCAGGCATGATCTTCATGCTTTGGACAATGTAGTACTCTGCAGCCATGAGCTCTGAGACTTGCATCCGCTGAGCTTGGATGGCTGCCACCACATCCTGCAAGTTAGAGGCATCTGCAGCAAAGTCCACGAACACCGAGGCCTGGAGCAGCTGGTGCTGTCGGCGAGCCGTGTTCTCTTTGATCTTTCGCATCTTGTTCTGGTGCTCCCGATCGAGTTTTGCGAAATTGAGCTCTTTGCGTTCCAAGTCTGCTCGAAGCTGCTCGTCTACCTCATTGTGGAGAAGATGCCCTGCCTGCAAAGCTTGGAGCTTGTTTGCGTGTTCCACTCCGTGCAGCACGTCAATCTCCTCCTCGTGAGCGTCCAACCAAAGCTCTTTGCCCGCCTCGGCAGCCGCGTCAATCACAGCCTTTGCATCGCGCCGGCGACGCTTCTTGGCCAGTGCCTTCACTTGCTGCTGCAGGTTTCTTTTCCACCCGGCCTCACTGCCCTGCTTAAGTGTTGGTGCCTTGCGAAGTGGCTTGCCACCGGCCCGTGTGCCGGCATACCTCGACATCCAGATGCGAGCAGCTGCCTTTGCCACTACTGTTGTGGCCTCCCTGCAGCCGAGGCGAAGCTGGTCATTGCGCATAGCAGCACACATGAGCGACCGTTCTTTCCCAATCGTCCTCTCCATGACTGAGAAATTCTGCTCCACACCGGAAGTTGAAGCTCCGTGGAAAGCAAGGTAGCGAGCCAAAACAATGTCCAGTGCCTGCAAGTTGTGCTTGTCACGGAGCCGCCGGTCGTCGAATTTCTTCCGTGTCTCAACCCAAGCATCCATGTTGCAACCAACACGGCCGGAAGTCAACAAATGCTGAGCATTGAAGTAACAACGATCGAACTGTTTCTTCAGGTCTTCCGGGTCACATAAAAATGACTGAGCCAGCCTCCTCAGCGCTTCTTGTCTCACTTCCAGAACTGCCGGGTCAGCCCGGCCGTCAGGACGCACTGCACGACGTGAAACATCGAAGCATTGGAAAGCTTGCATGACTTGGTAGTGCGGGAACTCCGATTGCAGCCGGCTCGTAGCCAGCTTGACCCTGTTCGCCATTCGCTGCATCACCCGCTGCTTGACGTCCTCACTGATTGATCCGCGGCCACCGAGGATCTTCACACCCCCGCCTGGCTTACGGAAGACAAACTCTTTCTCAAGGGTTTTCACCATGAACTCCGTGTGGCCGTAGTACCATGCATCTTCGTGCACGAAAAGAACATCGATGTTGTGGACGAAGCTGCTCAGGGCTTCAACCATGAGCGCGGGGTCGTAGCTCTCCTGGAAAACATGGGCTGTAACTCAGAGCAAACAAAGTCCCAAGAAACTAACATACGGAACTAAAGCCAAGTCCAAGTCAGGAATCTCCGTCGTAGAATCTCACGAGCTCCATGCTCTGGAGCCCCGCGTCCGCCAGTAGTGCTAACTGAAGCAGACTCTCTACGTCGGCACCTTCTACAAATGCTTGTGCTTTTCGCGCCGGCTCTGTACCTGCTCGCCTTACCATGATATCCAAGGCCGTTCTCCAGATGGATTCAAACACCAATACAAACCGACAAAGTGGTTTGCATTTGGACTCGAAACGGTGAGGTGCATAATCTAAGCATCTCATTCGATTCAGGGTCTGCTGTGACAGAGGCGTGCCAGAGTCCACACTGCATGTATTCTCTGAGAATACATGTCGTAGATCCGGGGAGTGCTGTATCACGTGAGTCATTGACTCAGCTCCGCCGATGTAGAAGAGGAAGGTTTGGCTCAGATATGGATCCACTGCCCAAGGATTCGCTGACAAACGCCTTGCGCAATGCGTCGGGTCCCGCACGCGAATGCGGATGTTCGGAAACATGGTTGACCGCACTGCTCCGGCCCTTCCACTGAGCAGGTTCAGCGTTCGCTGTTCATCTGAGGCCCCATCTGCATCGATCATTTCGACTTTTTCTGAAATCCTGGCCATCAGCCTCAGGTCGCCTCCGCAGAAACGCGATAGAATTCTCACAGTCGCTTCCTGAAGATCCTCGGATTTTGTACCTGGCGTGCAGTCCAAACCCAAGAGCCCTCTGAGGCAAGACCAATCAGCCAAAGTGGCTGAGAAACGTATCTGCAGGACACCCGCCCGCACGTCCTGATGAATGGCTATGACACGAGCCGTTGTCAGGGCATCTCTGTCCGCCTCAAGACATGCATTGCCAATGCAGCTGTGCAGCCGCTCAACTTTATGACGCCCACCGAAAGCCCCAGTATCCGCTACTGCACGGCAGCTTGAACCCGCCTTGAATTTCCGCCACACATCCATGATCATCGCCACATCAGGGGCACGGTGAAGCCCGGACTCGTCCTCCTCCTGAGCACCATCATTCGTCAGAAGCTTGCTGACTGCACGTAAATAAATGCTTCGAGCATTGTCCGTGCTTTACAACATGGGCCTTTTTCAAATCTGCAATCTTCAAGATAGGCTTGCCGCGCACCCATTCCGACGTGATGTCTGCTTGCGCCCAACCACGGCAGGCCACACATGTCAGAACAAAAGATGTCGAAGACACCCGCTGGCCCATCAACCACGACCCAAGGCCTGGCTGATCTTTGTCAAGCAGGAAAGCTTGCTCCCAGCTCTCCTGCCGCTTCCTGAATGCAGCTTCCACCTCATCTGCTTCCTCTTTGCTTGTGCAAACCTTCGTCGTCTTGCGGCATGGCTTCACCTGCGCCCCAGTCTGAGTCTGTTTCTGGTCCACGCACAGTAAGTCGTCCTCGTCCATGGCAAAGACGCAGAATTGTCAAGTTCCCGATGTCTTTCACTTGATTTACATTACATGTTGTTTGCCAGGAGTTTCAGATACTTGCCATGTGCCTGCTAAGGTAGGTTGTAAATGGAATCAATGGAATGCTGCACACATCATTCACACGAGGCTCAGTGCTGACCAAGAGCAACAGCAGAAAAAACAATGCGGTAACCCCTGCCAGATTTGTTCACGAAGCAACCAGGGCAAGGACTGGGGCAATGGCCTCGGCAACAGCCCGTATCATCGACCATGCCTGGGCAAAAAGGTGTATCATATTTGACTGTTAAACTTGCCAGCACTCTCTCAGTGCCGATGCCTTTCTCCCGATGCTCGTCTGCTCTTAAAACTTACTTGCAAGGAATCACTGGGCCAACCACCGGCATCATAATCCAGGCCTGAGGCAGGCATGCAGTAGCCATATCCTCATATCTGCACCATACTGCCCAATCAAAACGTAAGAAAAACTGAGGCATCCAGTACAGCCTCCATTGGCCAGGCCTGGGCCTGGGTGAGTCGTTTCAAAACAAAAGGCCGCTCAATCTGTGCCTTGCTTCACGCACACTGGCTCTCATTTCGACTCTGTGACACCCCCGGCTGCGCGGAGACACCGCCAACGGCCCAGCTTCGAAATAAAAACGCCGGGGGACGCCCCCTGCTGTTTGGAAGCACAAGGACCGGGACACTCTTGTAGCCCAGTGGGTCCCTGTTTATATAGCTAGTCTGTTTTACCCCCCCTACAAAAACAAGTGGGGACGTACCCTCCTGCACGGGGAGCAGGTGTAAACCTGATGATTTGTAAGCACCCACATACCTAAGTCTTCCATGCCATGCAATGCTCCTGGTATGGTGGCTACACTGTAGCAAA